TCCACATTTAGCAACAAATTTTTACAATTCTAATGTACTGGTTCGAGTTGGTGAATGTCAAAGTTTAGCCCATAGACGATTTTTGTATTCCACTTTTATTTCTCCTATTACCTCAATTAAGACTAGAAATACCGATGCTTTTCTTGTAACTATTTCTACCTAATGGGATCATTTTGTTCCCCCGATTTTTGTCGACTTGACGCAGCCGTAAAAGTTACCACAAATATCCTTTGATCGATTAAGAATCCAATGTTATCAGCTGCCCACATACGTATACGCCCATCGGAAATGAGAAACTTAAATAAGCTAAGAAAAAAATAACGATAATATTTTCATATTATCGTCTATAACGTTCGACCTTATATTCGGATAAATTGTTAACTAAATGTTTATCAAAACCATCTGCATAGCCTCGAGCCTCAGTTTATTAATACGTTCACAATCCACGATTCACTTTGAATCCCAATTTATTTCCAAATTATTTGCAATCGGGTTGCAAAAAATGCTAAATTTATGGCAAGTGTTTTCGGAGTGAACGTGAAGGTGATCTTGATGAATATTTGGGCCACAGGTTTTCAGAAATATCTTCACGGGATCGAAATTTATAGATAGAGATATGAAAAGTAATATTCGCCATTTCTCGTTTTTTCGTCTCATGTTTTCAGTCTCTTCTCTATTGCGGACGTGCAAAATTTCAGATTTCTATTTTCTTTTTTATGATTGGCGTGGCAAGTCGATAAAAGCAACCGGACCAAATAATGGAGACAGCTATATGTGATGGGCATCTTGAAAACTAGATCACGTCGGAAAAAAGTGATTGTAAGCATTGAAAGGTATTTTCATATAAACAGAAGTCATCACAAAATTATTTGAAAATCGAAAATTATTAAGCATCAAAATGATATACTCGGCAGTGCTAGTGTTAAACAAGACACTTAAGCTGAAAAAGGATAATGAACAAGCAGGAAAATTGTATTAGGTGGTGACTGAATACCATCACTTATACCCATTATAGTTATTGCAAAAAGGACCAGAACAGGAGGGGGACTTTATTTTTATACTACGTAATATGGAGTGGGCGCAGGTGATTTTTTCCCTTTACAAAATAAAAGTTTTGGTCGCATAGGCGTATCCTTTGAAAAGTTTGGATCAAATCCAAATTCTTTTGCAAATTTCTAAGCAATATCTTGCTTTTTCGCTAACGGGACAATGTTTACCAGAAATACTACACAGTTACGTTGACAGATAAATGGATAGACGAACTAAACGGGCATGTTTAGGTGCATTCCAAATTTGAAACTGGCTAAAAATTTATATACTTCATTGGCTCTTTCAAGCTTGTTTCTGCGCCTTATTTAGGTATTAAAGAAAAAATTAAATTTTGATCTATTATAATATTGGGTAAACATGGCGAACATTTTCTATTTCTGTACAAGTGCTACAGTATCGCCCATTGAATAAGCGTTCAAGTTATTGTGCATTTATCTGCTTTAGCTTATGAGTAACGAGTAATAAATCAATTTTTTATTCTTTTTGAAAAGTCGAGCTTAACCTCAGTTTACATAGTGCTGTGGGCGCCTCCTTCGATCGATTTGGCCCATTTTCAATACTAATCTGCGTGCATGAGTTTTCAATATTTCTGCTAAATTTAAAGTCGAAGGTCTATTTTTGCGGCCATGAAAAATGTTTACAACATACATTACACAGACGCACGGACAGACAGACAGACAGACAGACAGACAGACACGCTTAAATCGAGTTCTTGCGAAATTTGATGTTGATCCAGACTATAAATAAATACGATTTGTCTTTGATGCTTCCTTTTGGGCGTTGCAACTGTTTGGATGAAATGAATATACCCTTCATCCTTCGTCGATGAGTATAATAATAAAAGGAACAAAAGCACATGCATACAGTGCAAAGTCCTTCCACGATTCTAGTAAATAATGTGCCGATGATGACGATGATGATGATGATGATGATGATCTACGGATGATATTCGATGATTGGTGTAAAAATTCCAAACTCCACTAGAAAACAACAGTAACTGATAAGAAGTTTTAATTATGTACGAGTGTTAATCAGTTTGCCGAAATCCCAGTTACAGGTTATACTTAAAGGAGTTGAAGTTCCGTTTTATTTTAAAAATTTTAAAAGAAGCCAAGTAAGTCAATGCTAGCAAATGGGTTCCAAAGATACACCAACGTTAACTCGTATGCACGCTTAATCGGCTAATTATCTGTGTATTTGTGTACTTAAATGTAAACGAAATTTTCACTATCGCAAGAGCAAAGCACAGTTGAGATTGTGTACATACAGCCAAAGATAAAAAGACATATCCATCGGAGATTTTCATAATATTATGAGAAACTTTACTTAATCAACCATTGAATATTTCAAACAATTTTCGGCAGACAACAGAACGGAGTAAAATGGTTTTGCTTTAAAATTAATTATTTGCGACAAAAGGTCAAGGGCAAAGTATAATTCTACTCTGCATGTTTGTCCAGGTTGGATCGATTCAGAGTAGGACAAATAATTGGAGGGACAAGAATGCCTAAATTAATTCAAAATTTGATACTGATCCGCAATATGTGCACGTTTTGCATAAAGTCGCTGAAACTTTCTTCTCGATTTTGAATTGAAATGATATTTCGATATTTTATAATATTGGATGGACTTGGCTTTCCATTGCTTCTTTCATTTTTGAAATTGAATATATGAAGAAGTTCTTGTTCTTGCATCTGCTACAGTTTATGAATAATAAGCGAAGCATCCAGTATGTCATCAGTTCAAAACGGACAAAACTTGCAATGTGTTTACTGAATCTGGTATCTTCGTTTTCGTAATGGGGAGAATGTGCGTTGCAGACATGTTAGACAGAAGGGTACAGCCATATATATTCAAAATTTTCCGCTGATCAAGAATACATATATATACAGTAGGTCAATAGGGTCTACATACAGTATCGAAAATTGCAGTTTCTCTTAATAAAAACCTTCATTTATGGATTAAAGGTCGAAAAATATGTCTGAGAAGAAAGAAGAACTTATATGAAATAACAGACACGTCAAGACTTTATTTGGAGTTAAGGTGAAGTTATAAGCAAAAAAAGCAGTTTAATCCCATTAAAAAAAAAAAAAAACAATAAAAAAGTCCACACACAACACACAATGAAGGGTTCGAAAAAAGAGTATTTTTCTGTTTAACTGTACTTAGTTTTGGTATTTGTTTTCGTACGTGGAAATAATAATTTACTAATTAAAGTGAGTTTTCTTATTTTTTTCTTTTCAAAATGTCACAAGATATATGAAAATGCAAAGCAATTTCTCAAGCGACTAGATATGTGATTATAAAGTTAGGAAGAAGTAAAGAAAAATCGTATGGCGAAGTAGGAAAAGTAATTGCAGTTAGCCTCACCACTCTTCAAATTGTTCTAAGAAATTCCAGTGACACAAATACCACACAAAACCAGTACCGATCGGGTGAAACAAGCAAACTGACAAAGCATCAAAATCGAAATGTTTTGAAATTGTAACAAATGAACCCAAAACTAGTGACGTTTTGTGCGATTGAAAAAGAGCTGGAAAAATATAAGCCAACTGATGACATCTACCCCGGAACGGTTCATACAGTTTTAGGAGCCAAGGTTTTTTGTGGCCGCATTCCAAGAAAATACGATTTATAAATGAAGATAAAATGGCGCGACTTCCAAGAAAGCGATAGATCAATTTTTTTGGAAACCCGTAGGTTGTGGTGACGAATCTAAGTTGGATACGAGGGCGAACAAAAGGTAAGAAGGAAACTTAATATACCGATACCAATTCAAAATTTATTACTAGCAGCAAAGGACGATGGAGGGTCTGCCGTGGCTATGAACTTTGCGGAAACCGGTTTCGGGATGCTTTGCTTTATTGCTTTACATTATTGTAGCGCGTTTACAACTAACAGAACAGCACTAATTTTGCGCTCATTTATTAGAATTCTGATAATATTTCGATTCTCATGCTCTGTCAGGCTATTTAGTTGGCTTGGTCGATGCGTATTTTCCGCGGTTATTTGGACAGTAGCACGGCTTTATAAGCACTTTTCTAAATTCCTGACAAGCGCTGTGAGATTTTAAGGAAAGGAAATCACAAAAAATTCACTTTTATTAATCAATTACTACTCAAATGTACGAAAACAAGTGCAAAAACTAAGTACCGTTAACTTTTTTATCGTCTTCTTTTAATTTCGAAAGTTCTCTTAATATGTTTACGCTGTATTTAGACTTTTTTGTGGTATTCATGGAACTAAAGTGTATTTTTCGCTTACAACTTTATCTTAAAGCAAAGCAAGCAAAGTCTTCAAATGTTATTTAATAGAAGGTTTTGAACTCTCAATTCATAAATGCACTTTAATTCTTCGTACTGTATGTAGACTTTACTGGGCTAATGCTTATGAATAATAATTTTTATAGATTCTATAACTCTGTTGTCGGTATTGCACACATATTAACAATAAGGTAATTATCCTTTAATGATTTGAGGTAAGAATTGAATTCCGAAGAGTGCCTAACAGTCGTCGTTTGCTTGAAGATTAACAAAAAACTTTCCTTCTTCTTTAAGTTAAATGTTCTCTTCAAACATAATGAAATATGTATAAATTGTAATGAAAGGATGAAGAATTTTCTATACTTTTGTCTTCACATCTGCTCTTTATGTTAATGTGAGACAGTCGTCTAATGTAGAAACTGTTACTGCAAAACCACAAACAAATACTTATTTATTTACTTGAAAACAAAAAAAAAAAATTCTTATTATCTATGTGTACGAAAAAAAAAAAAAAAAGAAAAAAGAAAAAAAAAACCTACGGATACGAATCATATACGAAGCGTGATAGCATAGAAAACGGAAAATTTTTCGGAAAATACGAAAAGCAGCATATCAAACATATACTTTCAACCAGCTGCGAAATGGTTAAAATAAACAGTTCTTCGCGGCTAGTTAAACGAAACGGTTGTTTTGTGAAATACATTTTATTTGAGGCAATTAGTGAAGCCCTTACCATATGTGTGAATAAAAGAATTATAAGAAATAACGCGTGTCTTACATGTTCACCGTTTTGCACATGTTTTGTTTATGTTTACTCTAATGTACATGCATACATATCGCGTTAGAAAGATGCAGAAAACGAAAGAGGAGTCAAATTATTCTCTGTAAAAGTATTTGTTTTTGTTGATTTTTTTTGCTTTTTTTTTTTTTTTTTTTTTTTTTTTTTTCATTCTTTTCTTCTGCTCCATATTTTGGTTTTTGTGATCGCGTGTTTATACATATCTATAAACATATAGATATGCTGTGTGCTTTCTTAATGCGTTAGCCGTATGAAATGAAATTAAAAAATAAAAATATGTAAAAAGCCGGTTTCAACGCTCAACATGCATTCATTCAACAGCAAACATATTTAACAATAAGCTAATGGCTCGCTCTCTCTCTCTCTCTCTCTATATATATATATATATATATAAAATGCCTTTGTAGTAAGGCGTTTTTAAACACATTCACTAATGTTTGCGTTTTATTTGAATGGTAAAATAAATAAACGTTGGCAAGTATTTATTAAATAATAAAAACAAATCAAGCGAAAGAGTTCAACTCTTCGGTCTTGAGTGAATGAAAGAAAAATGAAATTTCTAACTTTGCTTGCCCAACTCCTTCGCGTTAATTGACGATAATTTGTAAAAATATTTTCACATGTAAACAAAAAAAAAAAAAAAAAAAAAAAAAAAAAAAAAAAAAAAAAAAAAAACAAAAAGAAAAAGAAAAGAGGAAAAATATTAATAAAGCAACCACAGTCGTAGCATAAGGATATATATATATATATAGTTCATAATGCTGATTACATTTGACTTCATATTTAGTTGTCTTAAAGCGTTTAAATGTATAAAATTTTGTTATTTTTCTTTATAAATATGTTTCATGATCCATGTGAAAGCACTGTAATCGCCTAAAAACGAAGCATTTTTTTCACATTGTTTTCTGGATGGAAGGAAGGAAACGTGATCAAATACTAATATGCGAGGAGGAACAATAAAAAATATGTAATCTTTTGTTAATAATGTTTAAATGAATTAATGTTTAATTAATTAATATGTTTTCTTAAATATATTGTACAGAAATTTGCGTGTATATCGTTGCAAGTATACTGCGCGCCATCTGGAGTTTTGGGGAAGACACGTTTAAAATTTTGAAACTTAGATATGCTTTGTTTTTTATTAATTCCTAGGAGCAGCGTCCGATCCTAAGACCCTGTTCAAAAGTTCTTTCTTGTTCCGTTTCGTGTTCGATAGTGCAGTCTTTTGCTGCGTCTGCGTCAAGGACAGAATCGTATGTGTTACACCTTATGTGCTATAAAATCATAGAGAAAGTTGACTAACTAAATTTATAATTCTGGAAACGAATCTCAGAATTATTATTAATAATTTTATCTCAAACTTTTAATTTCATGGCGGAAGCGTATACTTCTTTCGAATTACTCCTGACGTTCAATTCATTCAAGGATCGCCTCCATAAACGATGAATTAATGAATTCTCGTTTGGAAATACGTTTCTGCTAGTTCATTAGAGAAGTTAGATGTCACTAAGTAAAATAAATTAGGCTCAGGTATTTGGTTTAGAGCGCCTGAAGAAGAACTCAAAATTTCATGGTAAATATTTCTCTCAGATGATGAACTATCTCTTCTACGCTCTCCAAGACTCAAAGCATTTATGAAAGCGATAAAGTCACAAAACAAACACTATAGTGGAATGCTCAGACTAGATTGCCATGGAAAGGTTTGCTTCCATGAGAGCCCTTTTATAAATGGTGCGATCTAAAGATGGACCTATGTGATCCAAATTGCCCAAGGTTGATTTGCTAAGGACAAATTTTCGTTATAAAATATTAAAAATTAGACCTTCTTGGTATGTAAGGGCTTATATTCCATTGGAACCCTTCTATGGGTTAAGATTGAAAAAATAGATCTACATGGTCTCAATTCAGCAAGATTAATCTTTATTGCAAATTATTATTATAAACTAATTTTTTACTATGAAATTTCAAAATTCATATCTTCTTACCATGCAAAGATTCAATTTTCGTAGGAACGATTACATTAGGAGGAGTTCAAAAAATGGGTCAAGTTTTCCAACCAATTAAAAATGTCGAAATACTATCCCTAAGCGATTATCATCTCAAAATACTAAAAATTACAAAATTTTTTCTTACAACGACTTATTAAAGTAGGCCGTTATATGGGGAGTGCTCGAGAAAGTGATCGCATTTGCTCTCCGGCGTAAACAGACCGGTGTACCGAATTTCACCAAAACATCTTGAAAATTTCGACCTATAGGTTGAACACAAGAATACATGGATAGACATCGGACGGACAGAGCGACAGGTACGTTTGCATAATGTAATTCGGGCCTATTTTAATCCCTTCTGGAAGTTACATATGTCCACACGAACCCAATATACGATTGCACCACAAATTGCGTAGGGTATAAAGACGCGCTATATTTGTGGCTCGGTATAAGCATACATCTTGCTCTATATGTATGTGCCGTGCATTCCACATATTATGCCTGGGTAATTATACGAACTACAGCCTGTAAATATGTACATGTTTCGTCTGATTTAGCGGGATTTATAGGGCTTGGGCCGATTTAGCTCCAGACTTTCTTTCTTCCTTGAAACTAAAAAAAATCAAACATAATAACATTAGAAAAGAGTCCTCATTAATAATTTGATTTATAGCAGTAGTGTTTTAGTTGTTTTAGTCTGTCCAAGTGCAAGTTGACTGGCAAAAGCATCTTCAAATGGGATCAAATGTTTTCATTTTTCCAAACCTCTTTTGCACAAAAATTAATGGTAGCTTCTCGCTTTATATGTATGCATGTAGATTAATCGATTTTGTCTGTCTCACATATCTATTTCTAATTTTTTAAACTTCACTTTGGCTTAAGCCGCCATACGACAGCTGAAATACTCAAATCCCATCCCATTTAAGTTTCATCGACACTACTGAGTCTACTAAGCGTTCAAAAGAAGCCATCCTTTCTTTCTACTGTTTACACTACTATGCAAATCGTGTTAGCTAACTCTCGATATTACGGTTTCAAAAAATTGTAACTGGGCTAACAGGTTAACAGTTAAGTATGTAATGGGCACTTTCAAGATATTAAAAATCTTTGTGGTGTATATAGGGAAGCCAGATGGATGGAAAATTCAAACACAAAAGTAATCACATGCTGTCTAAAGAATTGCTAATCGTTGGTTTGAAATTATTATATAGTTTGATGGCTACGCTTGTTTTAAACTTGCTGAAGCATCAAATATTCGTTCGTTGCCGTCCCCAGAAGGGAGTTCCCTCTGGATCTAAGTGATGGCTATTTTTCTACTTATTAGATGACGCTATCTCGTTTACCACAATATACCGTGAAACTAATTTTCGGGGATCTATGTAAAATTTTAAAGGCAGTTAGCCAATAAATCATCTCATCCAACGCTATATTCTTCCAAAACGGATTTAGCAACATCGATACTTCTCCCTACTAACTTCTGAAGGTGTGTTGAACTTAATGCTTTAACAGAATTTCGAATCTCTAGTAATCAATCGAGTAGGTAATCTGTGTGTTCTAGTTTATAATTTTTCAAAAATAATTCCCTGCGCTTATGTATTACAGATGCGAAGGATTTTCTGAAAAAATCAAAGCTCCTTAAATACGTATAATATATTATATGTGCAGTCATGTTATGATATATGTACTAGCACACACTGTAAATGAAGTACGCATGTACATATATATATATATATATATATATAATATTTATTTTACGACTTTTGAGTGATTACTGTTTATACACTACGATATGTGTGTAGGTCGTAAAGCAGATGCTGATGGGAATTTATGTTGCACATTTGTATGATCCTGATAAATATTGGATCAAATTTTTAAATCAATGTTTGCTAAATTTCGTAAGTTATTCATAAAATTTCTACTTTCCCATAGGAGGAAAATATGTCCTTAGCTTAAAGTTTTACTATGAATTTTGCGGTTTTGAAACTCCCATAGACGTCACGGGCCGAAGGAGACGATTAGGCAGTAAAGAATGGCCCAGACATCATGGGATGCCCATTCGCTAAGGTACATTGCTTCCGCCCGTGCATTCGTATAAGGGTAAAGTACGCGCAATTCTTTTAGATATAATTGTCTGTAGAGTATTTATGAGACAAAATTTTAAAACACACCACAGCCAAACTAGTTAGCTCAGTTCTCACTAATTGCCACTTTACTAGTAGTAGAGGTCGTATTAGATAGTTACACAGACCGTGAGGACAATATATACACATCACGTTACATAGAAGAGAGCGAATGAAGTTCTCTCTCAAAGTTTTACGATGCAAAGTTAGGTTTGCTATGAAAGGGTTATAAGAGGAGGATTTTGCATTTCTATGCGATCCATTAAGCGATTATTTACTCGTGAAATTCAAGAATTTCGAATTGGTCAACTTCTTTCCTTCATTTCTACGATTTAATTCCTTGATAATTTTGAATACACATTTTCTCTCCTACATGAGTTGAAGGTGCATTTTGTGTTATTATACTTTATGCAATTTTATTACAGTTTATATTTTACAGTTTTAATTTTATTGTATTTTACCACTTAAATGTTATTAAGTTATAACTTTGCCAAAGCACGTACTATTTTCAATGTTTGTCCTTTTGATATTTATACACTATACGTTAACATATTCATATCAATAAGTGGAAACAGGTACATTAAATTTGCTTTTGCGTACGCAATAATAAACAAGAGATCAAATTGTACGAACCTGTTCATATGAGGCTCTATTGATTTAAAAAATTCTTCCTTAAAAATATGTTAGAAACAGCAAAATGAAGTGTAAAAGTTTTCTTTAATTTTCTTGACTAACTATTTATAGGTTCATTAAAAAGATCCTTCTATGTTTGGAAAAACAAAAAAAAAAACCATTCATATATATTTCCTTTAAGCCTTCGTTATGTTGCGTCAATAATAAAAAAAAAACAAGTAAAAAAATTATAGTCGTGCGACGCCGACTATTACACACCCTACACCTTTTCGCCTTGCACAAACATTTATTATTTGTTCCTTTTGGCAACAATACATCAAAGAGCCATAATATTCATGAAAGCCCGCATT